GTGCTAATCACTTGATTCCTCAGTTTCAATTTGATTTCTTAAGTTTTTAATAAATATGTATATTTTGATAAAGAATGAGTCATACTGACATACAAAAATTTTCCAAATATAAATTCTTACATCAAGCTGTATCTGAGAGGGGGAAAAAAAAGACTACTTATATGTGTTTTCACTTATGATTTGTTTTATGTTCAGATGCATTGAAACCATTAATTTTGCTGTGAAAGCAGAGGTTTTGGTGATGCCTCCTTTTCTAGGCTAGAGTACCAGGGGATGCTAGAGCTGGAGCTCATAATATAAAACCTGAGTAGTAGAAAAACTGTCACCTGTCACTTATAGAGAAGCACTAAAGAATAAGCTTGTGTAAAGAAATTGTGTATCTGTAACAGGCAAATGGTTGATACTCTTAGGATTTTAACAATAAAATCTTAACATTTAATGCAGCAATCACCAGTAGCGGCATGATGTTCTCCAAAAAGGAACTACCATTTTATGATTTTTTTAGAATTATTCAGTCATATGAGCAAGCCTTATCCAGGAATTCAGCTATCTTTATTTGGTAGTCTTTGGATAAAGTTATAATTTTTACTTTTAGTGTCTGTAAAAAAAAGTTTAGTAGAGTGTTTGTTGTGCCCGCCAGTGGTAAGCTGCAACAGTAAAATAAGTTCTGTATATGACAGCTTTTGTATTGTATTACAGTATTGTAGCATACTTTAAGGGTATAACTCAGCAATAGCACTACTTTCCAGTCTTGCTTTGATCTTCTGAATCCTGTTATCATAGGAGAAACTTATTTTGCAAATGCTATTGGAATTAACATGTTTTACTGGAAAAAACATAAAAGAAAGAGGAAGTATGAGATGATGATGAAACTCTTTGGAGTTAAGTTGCTTAAAGGTAAGGCAGCCAGGCACTTTTTTAATGCTCATCAGTTGAGTAAGAAGGTTTTTTGTTCTTAAGCATATATTGATTCCATTTCAATCTCTTTTTTTTCATAGAAGGTTTTCTGAAAGGTACAAATTTACTGAAAAATTTGGAGACAGTAATGTTATGACCAGAAACCCTACCCAACTAGCATGGGTATTTAAAAGTACTTACAAGCATATAGATCACCTGTTCACATAGACTTGAAGGTACTTGAAGGTGCTTGCTGTGTCAAAGCCTTCAAAATCTATTCCATAAAATAAGAATTCCTGTGTGGCTGCAATACTGCTGACCTGTAGACAAGAATTCTAGTAATTCTTTTCTCTATTATGGTCTTCTTGTTAAAATCTGTACAAGGCTTCCTAAAGTAACTTTGTTACTTTGAGTCATTTGATGTCTAAGTCCTCTTCACTTTTCAACACTTTTTCTCAGTATTGGAGCTCTTTTCCAAAACTGTCATATTTTTAGGCAATTGTTAGAGGCAGAGAGAGAAAGACAACTGAGATCCTAACTTGCTCACTCAGCACTGTTACTTTGCTTGTGTTCATAGAAGTGTTTATAATGATGGTTTTCAGATAGTTTAAAAGTGTACACCATATCATGTTGTAAAAATTGTTTCTGTTTACCTTAATATCCACATGACAGTCCTCAAATTTGTAAAAGTTTGCCAGTGTGCTATTAATGTATATTCAGCTTTCCTTTGTCAAACCAAGGAGATGTTTGATCTGCACTGTCAGTCAACTGAATCTTCATGGAACACAGTTTGAATACTATGAGTTAGAATATTAACAGCCTAAGATTTCTCTTTATAAGAGCAGGTAGAGAACCCTGGAATATGTGTTTGTGCATTCAGAATAATGGAGAGCTGCGGTAGAAGCATAACTTGCCAGTTCTCCAAATGACATGAAATCAAAGTAGTATTAACAAATTAAAAAGCTCCCACTGAATGCAAGGATGAAAATACGTTGCTGGAGTTCACCTTACCCCAGTAATCGGAGTCAATTCAGTCATGCAACTGGCAGTTTTCAAAGTCATCAGCAGTTCCATATAAAAGCAGTGGAAGCTTCTGGATCTGGAAGGGTTTTCAATGTTTGTTTTTAAGAGAGATGCCAAAGTCAAAAGCTAGGCGCTTACTTACAAAATCTAGCCTTATTGTTTTAAATGCTGAAACGTTTATTTAGTTGTATTGTGCTCCATCTCTGACCTGAATGCCTTTAAGTAATAAGTGCGATCATTTATTTTTTTTGAATACTGATTGTTTTGCAAGCCCAAAGATAAAAGTGCAGTTACATTTTATGAATTATATTCAAGTATACTGAATATGTTAATATTTTAAAAGAGAATTCCAGATACAGATTTTAAAATAACTTAGCAGTTTAGGTGCCAATGCGTGATTTTCATTTTACATGCAACCCTGTAACTGCAGCAAACTCTAATGGCTGTTTTCATTTTAATGTGATGGAATATATACTTTGTTCTTACCACTTATGTCTTTTTAGACTAGATTAAACTATAAACATGTTTTCAGAGATCAAGGGTATATGTACATTAACTTTCTTTATGCAGCAATGCAAACAAACATTGAATTGGCACATCCATTTCTTAAGTATCTAAAATTTCATTGACTTCAGCATATCTATTTCTTGAATATGTATATCTGCGCTGAATATGCAGACTTAGTTGTAAAAGATGTAAGATGAAGTGCGATTTTTTTTTTTTTTTTTCCATAAACAAAACGTAATATTCTGCTTTTGCAGTTTTCTGCATATTATTTTTCAGAATGTAGTTTCATACTGTGCTATAGCCTGGAAAAAAGCTAGAAATATAGAAGTTCAGTCTTATCACATTTTGTCCTCCTGTTAATAGTTTTAATGATACTAAACATCCAGAATGACTGAAGAATCAAAATGCAGTAGTTAAGTGTCTGAACAGCTGCACTGAATTATTTGACCAATTGACTATAAAAATGGTATATGGTGAGCAGGAAGGAGTATAATTTTCATTATACTCCTTCAGCCTTACTTTCCATACATGCAAGTTTTCATCTATGCAGTATAAAAATCTGAAAAGTGAGGCCACTTGTAAGTTTTGTAATTATAGTTTTTTACCTAAGAGGTATCTTTCCTACTAAAATACAAAATGGAATAAAACCCCAAAGCTTGCAAAACAGGAAGCTTAAAACAGATTTAAATTTTAAAAGGTTTTCTAGAGATGACTGAGAGCCAAGGTTACTACCAATTATTAGATGCATAGAGATACATTACTTACTGAATGTTTCAGCCCAGGTGATACAGTAACCTGATTATTCTTTATTTATAAAAGAAGTAGTTTACACTGATTATTCTCTTAATATATATCTGAACGACAAACCTGAAAGGCAAAGCAAATTTTTCAGTGGACCATAAGATATGGGTAATAATTCCTATTTAATGGAAAAGTTTCTTCCACAGAATTAAAATAATGTTCTAAGGTGCTTATTATGGATTGTCCACTACCATAGCTTTGAAGTGTTGATGAAATAATTCAAGGAATAAAAAAAATGAAAGGTGCATTGTGAGGCTGTGCTTCTATTTTACCTAACAGAGATTTAAACAAGTTGAACAGGTGACATTTCAGATTGTTGAGAAATTTCTCTTGTATCCTATTTATGTCTAGAAAGACATCTGTGTGCAGGATTCCTCTGTTATTTCCATACAAGGTGCTTTGGGGTGAGACAGGCTATTAAGAGATTTTACTCTAAACGTCCAATACATGATTTTGTAATAAATGCATCTTGGCAATGTCTTGTGCTCAAGGTGTTTACCCTGCTGACGTACAGAAGGTTATGTACCGAGAAGGTTTGAGTTGCTCTGTCTCACAGAAATTCCCTACTATGACAAACTACAGTGTGGTTCTGGTAGGAATAATTATTTAAAAAATTGTATGGCAGGATTCTGGGTTTAATGTTTTCAGTTTACTGTATGAACAATGCTAAATTTATACTTACAGAGCACTTCATGCTTTTTTCCCCTTTGTTTTTGCTTTAGTTTTCTTGCTAATTGATGAAAAGGGATAATCCTTTAGTCATTTTAAATTTGTTTCCAGCTTGAACCAGTTCTGTCAGACTAAGTATATCTTATCTTGGAAGAACTAATGTTTAGCTTGCATCTCTCTTACATAAAAATTGCAGACTGTAAGATAGACCTAGGGAAGTGTGTGTCAAGCTGTGTATTTTGCAGCCTCGCTTTCTAGGTTCCTTATAATTTCAACTCTTTTAAGACTGTAGCGCTATTTCCACTGCAAATGTTACTTCTGTAGCTAAATGTGCTGGATCCTTCTTGCAAATGTTTTCATCTCTTCATCATCACCAGGATCTCACTGGTGGTTTGTGAGGGACGAGTACCCCTCTTTCAGAACTAAAAAGGGCATGAGCTGAATTCACAGCTTGGTTTCCCTTATTTTTCTCAGGCTGATTTGCCTAGTCTAGCAAAATCAGCTGTATCATAACATAGGAGATGTCACAGCTACAGTTGTGCTGCACTTACCTGTCTAGCTTTAGGAGCTGAAGATATATTTTATATTTTCTTGCTTTGCAAAACTTTGAGCTTAGCTAGGAGCTATTTCATAGCAAGTTGTGGAGAATCTGTTCTTTTTATTTAAGGCAGAGGAGACTTGTGAGAACTTTCTGAAGCAACAAACAGTTGCAGGCTAGTGGTTTTAGTGATGCAGCATGTTAAAACCTGTTGATTGGTGCTCAAGCTTTTAGTCCTAAAAGTCATCCAATTTAAGATGTCAGACTCTTGAGGTTTCTGCATATGTTTAGGATGTCAGACATAAATCAGGTTTTTGTTATAATGAAGATTACCCCTCAGTTGTGTTGATTTGATGGATGTTGAGTAAATCTTTTATTTTAAATACTACATCGTTATTACTGACTGGTGAAATGGTGGGTAAACGGTCAGGTAACAGGTGCTGTTTCCAATGAAATTTTTCAGACTTATATGGTGGTCTTTGTATTAAGACTTGTGTTCCATCCAAAATGCAGATGTGTATTTTACAGGCTTTGTAGCTGTTAGTTGGACAACACGCTGAATTTAATACCAGCAGTGATAAACACTGGTGCCTGCTTTGCTGAGTTAGGTACAGCTGAGTTAGCACTTCTCAAGTAAAGAAGAGAAAAATGCTGCAGTTCTGGGGCCTGACTGGATCCACCTGTCCCAGTGGGGAAAACACGTCTTTGGACATAAGGTGGTGAGACTGACTGAGAGGGTTTAAACTAGAATCAGTGGTAAGGGGATAACAACAGGATTGCTGAAGATAAGGCAATGGTTAACATGTCACCACCTGAGAGTGGCAATGCTAGTAGGAACATTTATGCTGCTCCTGGGAGCATGGAGGGCGCAGGAGCATAACTGAAATGCTTTTATGCCAGTGTACGCAGTATGAGAAACAAACAGGATGAACTGGAAGCTTTGGTCAGCTCCCAGAGCTACGATATTGATACTAGTGTGACTTGGTGGAATGAGTCTCATGACTGGAGGCTGTTCAGGAGGGATAGGCAGGGCAGGTGAGGTGGAGGTGTCGCACTGTATGTAAGGAGAGGTTTGATACAGTTAGTGATGTGGTTGAGAGCCTCTGGGTGAGGATTAAGGGATGGAAAACAAACGAGATGTTGTAGGGATTGTCTACTACTGATTGCCCAGCCAGGATGTAAGCACTGATGAGTTATTCTATAGGCAATTAGGAGAAACTTCTGGATTGGTACCCCTGGTCATTATGGGAGATTTCAATTTATCAACTGGGAATATAACACTGCTGTGACAAGCAGATCTTGGAAATTCTTGGTTTATGGAGGAAAACTTCTTGTCATAAGTACTCAGTGAGCTGACTAGGAAAGATGCTCTCCTAGATTTGCTATTTGTGAATAGAGAAGGACTTGTGGAAGATGAGATGGTAGGTAGCTATCTTGGCCACAGTCGTCATGAAATGGTTGAGTTTAAAATTTTCAGTGTAATGAGAAGAAAGGACAGCAGAGTTGCTACCCTGGACTTCAAGAGAGTAAACTTTGAGTTATTCAGGAAGCTATTTAGCAGAGTACCCTGGAAATCCACTTTTGAGTGCTTAGGAGTCCATAAGTGCTGGTTGGTTCTTAAGAAGCACCTTTGAGAAGCACAGGAGCCAGCAATTCCACCATGTTGTAAGTCAAGCAAGCTGGGCAGAAGACCACCTTGGCTGAACAGACAACTCCTTGTGGAGCTCAAGAGGAAAAAGGAATTGTATGGTCTCTGGAAGAAGCAAGGTCAGACTTCACAGAAAGATTAGAGAGTTGTGGCTTGTATATGCAGACACAAAAGACCAAAGCTCAATTCGAGTTGAAACTGGCCAGTGTTGTGTCAAACAACAGAAGGGCTTTTTAAAGTATGTTAATAGCAAGGGAGGGTCTGAAGAAAACATTGGATTGATACTTATTGAAGATTGTTGTCTGACTAATAGGGATGAAGTGGAGGCATTCAATGCATTTTTTGCCTCAGTCTATAACAACACTGATAGACCTTGGGCCATGCAGTCCCCTGAGTCAGAGGTCCACGACTGTGGGAACAGTGACTTTCAATTTGTGGACACAGAAATTTTAAGGGACCAGCTGTAACAGTTGAATGTTCACAAGTCCATAGGGCCTGATGGGATTCATCACAGAGTACTGAAGGAGCCAGCAGATGTTATAGCAGGACCCCTCTCGATTGTCTACCAAACGTCTTGGAAGTCTGGGGAGGTCCCTGCTGACTGGAAGCTGGCCATTGTTATTCCAGTCTACAAAAAGGGTGTAGGGGAAGACCTAGGAAACTACACACCTTTTAGTCTAACCTCAGTTCCTAGAAAAATTACAGTGATTGTACTGAGTACTGTTGAAAGGCATTTTAAGACTAATGCAGTCATCATCAGGCATAGTCAGCATGGGTTTGCAAAGGGAAGGTCCCATTTAATTTAATATTTTTCTATGATAAGGTCACCTGCCTGGTGGATGAAGGGAATGTAGTTCTTCTGGATTTTAGTAAGGCTTTGGATGCTGTCCCTCACAGCACCCTTCTGGACCAGTCGCCCAACTAGGGGATGGATGGGTTCACAGTGTGCTGGGTGAAGAATTAGCTGAAGGGCAGAGCTCAGAGGGTTGCAGTGAATGGGGCTACATCCAGCTGGCAACTGGTCCCCAGTGGTGTTCCTCAAGGTTCAATTCTAAAGCCAGTTTTGTTCAATATATTTATCAGTGATCTGGATGCAGGAGTTGAATGAACCATTAGCAAGTTTGCTGATGATACCAAACTGGGAGGGGCTGTTGACTCTCTTGAGGGACAAGAGGCCTTGCAGAGGGATCTAGATAGATTGGAACATTAAGCTGTGATGAGTGGAATGAAATCTAACAAGTCCGGATGCCAGATCCTGCACCTTGGATGGAGTAAATCTGGTATAAATTGGGAGAGGAGTGGCTGGAGAGCAGCCCTGCAGAAAGGGGCCTGGGGGTGTTGGTGACCGCAGGCTCAGTATGAGCCAGCAGTGTGTGCCCTGGCAGCTGAGAGGGCAAACCGCATCCTGGGGTGCATCCAACAGAGCACCACAGCCGGGCAGAAGAGGTGATTATCCCACTGTATTCAGCGTTGGTGCAGCCTCACCTTGGGTACCGCGTGCGGTTCTGGGCCCCACAATTTAAGCAGGATGTGAAGGTCCTTGAATGTGTCCAGAGAAGGGCAAAATCTGGTGTCAGGGCTGAAAGGAATGTCCTATGAGGAGTGACTGAGGACTCTGGGCTTGTCTAGTTTGGAGAAAAGTAGGCTGAGGGGCAACCTCATTGCTCTCTACAGCTTCCTGAGGAGGGGAAGCAGAGAGGGAGGTGCTGAGCTCTTCTCCCTGGGATCCAGTGAGAGGATGTGCGGGAATGGCTCAAAGCTGCCGCAGGGGAGGCTTAGACTGGACATTAGGAAGCATTTTTTTACTGAGAGGGTGTTCAAACACTGGAACAGGCTTCCTAGAGAGGTGGTTGGTGCCCCAATCCTGTCGGTGTTTAAGACAATGACCTTAAAAACATGCTTTAACTTGGTCAGCCCTGAATTGGTCAGTAGGACGAGATGATCGTTGTAGGTTCCTTCCAACCAAACGTATCCTGTTCTGTCCATCTGTGCTCTTTTCTCACCTTTTTTTTTTTTTTTTTTTTTTCCCATACCAAAGTGCTACTAAAAGAAGTGCACTTCAAGCCAGTCTGTGCGAAGATACATTTACAAAGACAGATACAGATACAGCAACGTCCATACAGCCTAACCGGACTCTGCGATCCTTAGGATGCCGACATGTGCTTATATGTTTTTATTATATATAATAAAAAGATCATCCTGGAAACGGGTAGCGCCGGGGTAGCTCTCCTGCGGGGCGGTGGCGGGACACCCAGCGTATGCAG